TCCTCCTTCTCCCGGCTCACCCTGTCCAGCTTGGCCTGCAACTCATTGCCCTCAACTCTTTGCTGCTTTTCTGCCTGCTCCAGCTGTGCAATCACTTGCTGGTACTTCTCCAGGGTTTGTACCTGGCTTCTCAGTGAATGAACTTCCCTGGCATGATCACTGGCTTGTTGGCTCTGAACTTCAAGCAGCTCCTTCTCTCGCTCCCGAGCTCGCTCTCTCTCTTGAGCCCAGGTCTCCTTTAAGGCACCCAGTTCTCGAGAGACCATCTTCTCCTGGGAAGCTAGCTGAAGTATCTCAGCCTCCTTCTCCCTAAGGGCCTGGCTGAAGAGACTCTGGTTCTCCTCTCTGAGACGCTTATTTTCCTCCCTCAGCTGCATGTTCTGTCGCTTGTGCTCATCCTTGAAGTAGATCATGTCCTCGTGGTTGGCAGCCAGGTCCATAAAGCGCTCCTCCAGCTGTTGAGCCCGCTGGGTCTGGCTTTTCAGGTTTGCAGCATCCTTCATCCTCAGCTCCTCCAGTTCCACATTGAGCTGTTCCAGTGCCTTGCAACGCATTTGGGCTTCATCGCCTCGTTTCTTTAGTATGCAGATGAGCTGAGACAGGCCATCTCTGGGCCCTCCTCATCCTGAGGCATGGAGGTGCTGTTTCTCACCGAGCTGAACTCGCCCGCTTTTACAGCCACTTCTGGTAGCAATGTTGAAATGAGGTCCCAGTACCCAGCGGTCCTCGTTTCCTGGCCCGCAGCACTGCGATTGGCAGAGGGGCTCTGGGAATTCTATCGCATCACAAGGGAGAAGCCCTGGACATTCTGGAGCAGGTCGCAGTCCACAAACACGTCACATGTCTTGGCCTTGCAGAAGCACAGCACAGTTCCCTGTCATACACATGCAATGTTAAGGAAGGTCTGAGGAAACAAGTCTAGAGAATTAGATTAGTCCTTATCCAAACCCATTTATTTGAAGAAACCTTTGCGGATATTTGTTGTTGTTGGCGGCGCACAGCTGCGGTGACTCCAAGCAAATAAAAATAGTTTACTTAAAGAAAGGAATAAAGTTGGAGGCAATTCCATAGACAGCGTTCTTCCACCCTCTCTCCTGGCCCTGTTGATATTAAAGCTACAGCTTATCTTAACAATTCAAAGCAAAGCTTATTGCACTAGCCTTCTAATTGATGTTAAAATCCTTGACAATGTATCCTTTCTAGGAATGAGAAGTGCCTGTTTCTTTTACACAGCTTGGAGTTCTAGTCATGTAAGGACTCTAACTGCTAATAATTATTACTGCAAGCAGAGGCCAGTGGAGGCAAGGATCTATGTGGGCGATATCCTTCACTGGACCAACTGCATGGCTGGGGCACACAAGCTTTCAAATCAATTGCATTCTTCTTCAGATTATAAATCCTTGCTTCACATTTCCTGGACCATCTTGGCTACAGCATCACTTCAACCCTACTGCAAGCAGAACTATTTCATACTTAGAGTTGGTTTGGGAAGCCTAGTGAACTGGGCTCTAACTTGAGCTCTACTCTAACTTTAGCTCCTTGTATAAACTCAGGTATGCCACCATATGTGCCTCCATTTCCTCATCTGAAAAATAGGGGGAAATGTTGTTACAGTATAGCAGTGTTGCCATCTCTCATGATTTTTGGCACTGTACTTAAAGTCTAAGCTTCAGGAACATGAAAAATGTAGCTACTGCTTTTATGCATACATATATAAAAGAAAGATCTAAGTTGTTCACATTCCCAAATGGTAGACTTTAGAACAACACCAATAATCATGAGAGTTGGCAATACTGGTATAGTCCTCAAACCAGGACTGGGGCTCGATCATACTCCGTGCAAGTATGAAAAGAACAGTATACGCTCTAAAAAGTTTTCAATCTTTGGTGATAGGTGATCACCAGGGATCCGAGTTTTCCATTTTGCACAAAAAATTGAGAAAACCACGGATTCCCTGTTTTTATCGGAGAAAAGGTGGATTTCTCTTTTTAGCAGAGAAAGCTGCAGATTCTCCACTTTGCTAAGCGCTCTTACAGGGCTTCACAGCTCCAGCCTGCAGGAGCCAACTGCAAAAAGGGCGAGAAACCCACAGCCCTGGCCGGTGGGGGAGGGAGACGGGGGAGGGCAGAGTCTAAGCCTCTGAGGCAGCCAGGGCTGGGCTCAAGCTCACACTCACCCTTTGCCCCTGGAGCATGGAGCTAAGTGGGCCTGTGGTGCAGGGCTGGGGGAGATGGTTGGGTCTGAGGGAGCAGGGGGTGCTGCCGGCCCCAGGCGGCACATCACAGCTGGGAGCAGGGCCAGGGGATGAGGGCAGGGGTGCCCCTCTGTGGGGGGCTTTGCAGGCAAGTGATGCGGGGCTCAGTGTGTTGGTGCCCACCATGTGCCAGGCACGCACATGCCGCCTGGCTGGCTGCCCGGGGCACCCGCCCACAGGCACCCAGCTCGGGCAGTCCTGGGGGGCACTGCAGCTGCGGAGGGAAGGATGCACTGGACCCCCAAGCAGCTTAGGCAGGCTCCAGGCAGGGGGAAAAAAAAAGATCACGCTCGCCACTTTTCTTGGCAGGAGACTGCTTTCCCGCGCTGCTGCCAGGCTGCCTGCAGGGCTTCCTGCAGAGCCGCACAGAGGCTGGTGCTTCACTCCGCGGCTGTAGGAGCAACCAACTAAAACTCCTCGGACAACAACAATAACTAACCGGAAAATATTTTAAATACAGACACACTGAAAGATACCAGTCACATCTTTTCAACACAAAATCTCTGTGTCATAATTCCTTTGCACTGTATGAAATAAAGCAAATTGTAAGCTCTACGGCAAGTAAATCTCAAAACCTGCCCTTTGTTCTCCTAAAGACACTTAAAAATAATCATTCATTAAGCTGTGTACCCAAAAGTATACTTATATTTGCTTATTAAATTGCAACTCATGCAAAGATAATATGAATGTGTACACAATACCGATGCAAATTTGATTTAAAATGTTTCTTAATTCAAGTCTCACACAAATATTATTGTACAACTACAAAAATATTAATTATGCATATACATTTCTCAATGCAGAAGTTTCTTTCTTTATATGTATATAAAAAGGTATTTTAAAAAGCAGGCAATTACTATGCCTTTATCTTCCTAAAATACCCTTAATTGGAAAGTTAGTAGGGTAGTATAGCCATGACTCCACGCTGGCGCTTTTGGGGGAAAAAAATTGTCACTCAAAATTCCATAAATCCAGAATTGGCAACCTATGGCCCCTGGGCCAGATTCAGCCATAAAGCATTTTCATGTGGCCTGCAGACGAGGGGCTTTGGCGGTGGGAGCATTCAGCAGCAGTCACTTTTCCCTGCTGCCACAGGAAAAAAGCAACAGTAGCAGCTGGGTCCTTAAGTGGGACTTAACTGGGTCATTTTGGCCTGCAACTTTAAAAGGCTACTGATTCCTGCCGTAAATTAATTCCATTTCCATTAAAAACAGCAAAACAAAAAACCCAGACATCCCAATCCCATACCTGCCCATTCCCCTCTCCCTCCTCATATGTAATTTAATAAAGAGAGTTGCCAGATTCTAGCTCTACATAATAACAACAACTATACACACAGATATAACACGTGCATTTATTTTGAGGCCTGTAGCTTACAATACAATATGAAAATTGCATAGATTTATAAGATGTAAATATAAGATCATGTGTATTGTTTAATTAAACATTTATTCCCAGCACAATGTAGCTTTAACAGGCTGCTTTTAGTTAAAAGCCCAGGTTTGTTGTTCTTGCCCCAGTTATACGTTCAGCTTTCTTATATTACATTCCTATAGACCTGAGACGGTTGCTTCCTGTTGCATATGCTGTAGGTTCGTTTAAACCAAGAACATCTCAATCCCTGCTGTGTCATAATGGCACTGAAGTACAAACAAAGTGCTGCACACGCCTACAAGGCAAATCAGTCTTCGGTGCAGGCAATGAACATTTTTAAAAAATAAATATTCAATTTTTCAATAATAAAACCAGCAATATAACCAATGAGGAAAAAAAAAAAGATTCTTCAGAGTAACATTTGAACAAAGTACATTAGAAGTCATCATTTTCATTCAGTCTCCCCAATTTAGAGATTTGTTTAAGACTAATAACATTTGTAACACACAAAGACAAACCCTTTTCAGGACACTGATTCTTCGTACTCTGCAACCCTTTGTTCCCACTGACTTGAGCTGGAGTTGAGGGTACCAAGCGTCCTACCAGAATGAGACCAAAACCACTATTTCATAGAAGGCTTCTAATCAATTTAGAAACTTTCGCCATGCCCTGGAAATTTAAAACAGATAGAATTCCTTTTATGAACTATGGCTGTTACACCCTTTGCTAAGAAAACTTGAATGATGCATTAACCCACAGTAGCCGATATAAAGAGGTACCGTCCATTTATCAGACCGCTAACAATGCCCCGCAAATGACACTGGAAAGAGCTGGAAAGGGTCAGATTTTTGGTTTTAGTCTTCTGGCAATTTAAACTTACTGAACGAAGCACCAACAGTTTTTAGGTATTCCATTCAACTCTAAAACACACCACTGGTACCTATGCTGTCATTCTGTTACACCATTCTTTGTTCTTTTCACTCATTTTCAGTGAGAAAATAATGAAAGGCCTTCATGTGAAAAAAAAAATTCTACAGGCATTTAGCAGCACAAATGAAGAACAAGACAAAACAGCTGTCTAAAGATCTGCCACAGTATACTGTTCTATGAAGTCCACGAAGTTTCTAGCTTTATTTTATTCCTTCCCCACAACTTTCAAGATCTGTTTTGGCCATTATCAGTTACAAAGTCCTCCTATTCTGTCAGCTTTGCTATCATGAGCATCCTGAGTGGTAGCGTATCTTCTACCCACGTGTTTGGAGACTTCATCATTCTGTCCCATAGGGCAGCTTCATCCAGAGTAGAATCCATCCAATCCACTTCTGTTCCGTAACTTTTACCTAGAATATTTAAACATTTTTAAAGCACTTGTTTTTCCCCCACAAATACTCTCCTCACACTTAGAGCAAGACAATCTTCTAGAGCTGAGCAAAATCAATCCAGCAATCCTGTTCCTCATTATATCTCTGAATTCTCATGTTAGTCTATTATATTGTTTGTAAACTCATTTTGTTAGGATTCCTAACAGTAGAGAAAGTAAGCCAAAATTTTCAAATCTGAGTTTCTGAAGTAGTGGACTATTTTTTAGCCATGACAAAACCTGTAGATGGATCAGCACCTCTGAGAATGGAAAGTAACGCAATTAGGCTCATGCTTCCCAACACAGCTTGACCACTTCTGTCCTTATGGAGCCATGTAGTCAGTAAAATATCTGCAGGTCTGTCCAGTGATATTTTGCAAGATCAAGATTGTATTTTATAAATTAGGGATGAACAAAAAAATAAATAAAAAAAATCAGTACCTGTTCCAAGACCTATCCTGAGACCTCCCAGAAAGTGATTGACTAGTTTGTTGTGATCCCAGACCGTGAGTTCTACACAGGCTTCTTTCAGATCTTCAGGCCTAAAGCCATCATAAACCATGGTGTGGTTGAACACTGGGTTGGTAGTTTTTGCCACTGATCTCGTTTTCTGGCGGCTTTTTCTACTAGTGTCTGGAAGAATGGTACTTTAGAAAGAAAAGAAACGTGACATTTAGACACTGGGCCTCATGCTCTTGTATGCAATAACATAGGTATTCATTAACATCTTTTGTAAGAATATACTATGAGGTACCTAAGAAAAGGCTGTAGCCTAAAAGAAGAAAAAAAAACAAAAGGAAGAGAGCTCAGTAACACAACGAGTGGGGTGAGAGAGCACCAGCTTTGAGAGGGTGAAAGAATCCTGCCCCCATAGATTCAGAGACTGAAAGGCCGGAAGGGATCTCAGAAGACCACCAGTCCAGCCCCCTGCATCAAGCAGGAAAGACAACTGGGGGTCAGGCAACCCCAGCAAGGTGACCGTCTAGTCTCCTCTTGAAGATATCCACGGTAGGTGATGCACCACCTCTGGAGGGAGCTTATTCCACAGTCAGGACACCCTGACTGTGAAGGAGTTTTTCCTAATGTTGAGCCTGAATCGGTCTTCCAGGATTTTGTGGCCATTAGAAGACCCACTCTACACTGGTCAGCATCACACCACCCTCCTCCCAACCCTGGGTGCTGAATGAGCGCACACTGCCTCTGAGAGAGCGTACGTGCCTGCACTCTCCCACACGGATGCAGTTTACCCATCCTCATGCTTCAGAAGACAGCCAATGGACTTGCAGGCTGTTCTGCCTAGCCAGGCAACCAGGGAGTCAGGGGGACAGAATGAAAGACTGGAAGTCAAAAGGGAAACTCCAGAGGCAGTGTGCTTGACAAATATTGACAAAAGACTGGCTTTAAAGATTTATGGCAGTGATTCCACGCCATGACAGCCTTTTAAGGGTGCAGTGTCATATTAGCATCATTATGTGTGTGGACACCTACATGCAGTTCACAAGATAACACAAAGAAATTTCAAACAGGAATTCACAGCATCAAAAGCAGTCTGACCTTTCTGAGTTTTCTGCAACAGAAGAATTTATTTAGTATTTATCTAGTATCTATCTATTTAGAATTTCTCTAGTATTTATTGTAGTAAAAAAAAAACAAGTGAAAGCTAAAAGCTGGTATTTTCCAAAGGGTGCCTTGAGTCTAAAAAAGGTTGAGAACCACTGGTTTATGGGATTGTAGAGATAGGACCCAGGAAGGTACCAACATATTCTTCATATAAATTAAGAGGAAATCAATCAGAAAGGCCCAGAAAGATACTAGATTACAAAAGAAAAGAAAAAAGGGTTTGTTACCAACAAGTCCTGTTACCATTTAACAAAAGAGTTGAGCCTGTTGCCCCTCAGAAGAGGGAGGTCGTTGCATCCCTTCACCCAGATATGAACCTCTCCTGTGGGCGAGGTCTTCTTTCCTTTTAAAAGGGACAAGTAGGAGACATTTTGACATTCCCTTCCTTCAGAAATTCAAGTCTTTAGCAACGGCTGCTTTGCACATTTATAAATAAAAAGCAGTAGCAAAAGGAAGGGAGAAAGCAAGGGAAGATCATACTAAATTTACTTCAAATTTAGTTTCTTCACAATCATAGCAACTGGAAGTACGCCTCCTCTGATCTGCGCACCAAAAACTGTGAGGAAAGCAGAACTGTCAGTTGTGACAGGCATGCTTCCCGGCTGTTGCAGTTGGACAAGGTTGCTGTACGCTTCCTTGTGTGGTCTAGCCTGCCATGCTCCGCCCCAGTGTTGAACTTGGCTGTATGTCAATGGCGAGAGTGAAGCAATTCCTGTCTTTTACTGCTTTCCTTTTCCTTTGTGGAGAGCGACACTGAGAAACAGTAACATTTACTTTTCTGCCTCACTTCTCACTCCTTTGGCTTCTTCCCCTCACAATGTGATCTGGTTTTAGAACTTTTCTGTCAAAAAACACTCCTTGGCCCTACTTACCTCTCCCACTACCTGCCCATCTCCTTTTTGTTTATGAATCATGAAGCACGGTTTGCAATTGTTGCTTGAAGTTCCTTTTGTCCAGTCTCATCCTAGACTTCTCCCATCTCCTGTCTTCACCTTGCACTCCCCTGAAGCTACTCTTCTGCAGTGACCTCTTCCAACCAAAAGTCAGAATCAGTGGACCATCAGCCACCTTCTAGAAATCTTGTGCTTCCGTGGGCTTTGTGACAGTCCTTCCCTGCCTCTACCTTTCCTAGTGCTCCTTCACTCTGTTGCTTAGAGAATCTTCCTCATTTTCACCACCCCCGGCCCACCTTTGCTGTGGGTGTGCTAAAGGAGTCTTTCCTTAGTTCCATTCCCTTTGCTCTCTACCGGTAATCTCTGGATAAACGTATTTGCGCACACAAAAATCCAGCAATATGCATGACTTGCAGATCTATCTTGTTGCTGCGGAGCTGTCCCTTCTATCCAAACTAAAATCTCAGCCTGGCTCTGACATCTATTTATGAATCTCATCCTGATTATTACAGGAGCCTTTTCTCTGTCCTGAACAAATGCATTCTTGCCCAATTCGTATCTTTTCAGAATGCAAAGGTAGTTTTTCCTCAGCTTATCCAGCTCTTTGCACTCCTCTACCAATAACACTGTCTCTAACAGAGACTAACAGTCTTTACTTTTAAGGTCCTTCGCAGCCTACCCTGCATCAAAATCAACTCAGTTCCAACTCACCCATGCTATCAGCCCCTAGCACCCACTTACATTCTCTGAGTTTGCTTCTCACCCTTGGAAGCAGTGTGAGAAGCAAAATTAACAACTCTATGAAAAACTGCAAAACTAAGTTACCTTTCAAACACTCTTGTGCCACGAAGCCACCTTGGCAACTATTAAGCCACTGGTATGCCAAGCTCCCTGCCTTTCATGCATACCAATGCTATGTTTAAGTTTCCTTGAGTCTCCCCGTTTGCCCACGTCTAACATGTCTTCTACTTAATTTAGTATCAAAAAGCTCAGGTCATTTGTTGTTTACATGGAGCCCAGCAGAACAGGGACCTGGTCTAGAGCTAGGGCTCCTCATACTATATTAATGCACACAATTAATAACATGCTTATTTTACATACACATTAGCATTCTTGGGGCCAAAATTTCAGGTAGGCAAACATACCTGCATGTATTTACTGACAGCTAATGCTCACTGTGCGCATACACAATTTCTAGGTACATGAGTGATGGGAATTTAAATATTAATACATTCCAGTTCAGGAAGGTTCTGCTATTCTTCTGTCTCCCTGCACAACTTACCTCACAGATGGTGCGAAAAAGGGATGAATTTGTTCTTATTTAATTAAACCCCTTTCCTGCCAGCCAACTATTAACTGTGAGAGAACTAGCAACCTACAGAACATTTTGCTACAGTAAGCCATGCTCAAACCAGTAACTACTCTT